AAGGGTTGTAATTTTAAACAGGAGGTCCCCTCAGTCACAGGGGGGAGTGAGAGGTGTGGGGGCGGGTAGTGTAGTATGAATTTCTCACAGGCAGTGATTGGTGGTGAACGCTCCGGGAGGGCAGTATAGGAACGTAATTAGTGGTGATATTGACTGTAAAAAGTATTGAGTAATTGAAATATGAGATGAAATAATGGCTGACTTTGTGAGCGATTTCTATTGTGTTTATATCTAAGTGTTTGTATTATTATTATCTCTTATTTATTGGACATTATATGAGACGACAAACACATTAATGAGTCGACCATTGAAAGGCCATTCACCACATCATTCATATGCGATGAGTGCATGGATAATACCCTGATGACTGATAGGATCACTTGTGGACTCACACACAATGTTTGTGTTGCCAAATGCCAAACATGTACACCGAGTACTCAACTGAGCAATGTCCTTTTGAATAGGCTTTATTTATTTGTATTATTATTTATGTATGCATATGCATTAGTGAATTAATTTATAGTTATTTTAGTGACACTTATTTACATATTAGATATTCATTTAATAAATAGTTATTGTTTTGTGTAATAATCTCCAAATTGGAGCACAAAATCTACTTGTTTATTTTTGTTTTCAACAAGTTTAATAGTTTTAATTTAATTTCGTAATTAATTTGACAATTGTTTCACACCAATAACTAAACCATTAATAAATAATATCAATAATAATAATAATAATAATTTGCAAAACTATATGTCAATTGACTTTTAAAGTGCATATTTATTTGTGTTATTTTTTTGTCGGACTTTTAAATACAGTACAATCAAAAACTTAGACATTAATTGTAATCATAAGTGACTTATTGTGTGAAAAATCTGTTGTTTTTGTTTGTTTTTCACATATTTTTTGTTTGTTTTAAATGTTTTATCCAATTGAAGACTCGACTGATATATTAAAAGTGAGTTTTGGTTTTAATTAATTATATTTCATTAATTGTGATCGCATTTGCATGTGACTGATACTCATGATAGTCGCCTCACCACTACCCCCACCCCTCACTCCACCCCTCCCCACATACCCCATACAACTCGCACACCTGTTATGTGTTAACCCATTGATGCCATGTATTAGCTTTTGTGGCCTTATATCTAGTTTTAAGTGTAGTTTTTGTCTCATATATTGCTGACTGACTCAACACTTGTATTATTTAGTAAATTGAGTTTTGAATGCATTTTGAAAATAGTTTTTATTGAGTTTTCATTGAGTGAATCGCAAACATAACTCTGTATTGAATGGCATTAAATGTTTTCATTTCATTTGTCTCTCAATCGCCTCACCGTATGATGTGTTGAATGGTGTCTGTGCTGTCTGTCCACCCGTTTCACGCATAATACAAACGCTATGAATAGTCGTTAATAAGTGAGAAAAGCAAAGAAACCATGTTTTTGGACCAACAGTTGCGGAACATCCAGTCGATGATCCGGCTGACCAAAGGCAACCTGGAGGCGCTGAACGCCCGGTTCGCTCAGTACCAACACCCGCCCTCCATGTACATCGCCGAGTACGAGGACCTCACGTCCAAACTCAACGAGTTTCAGAGGCAGGAGGAGAAGCTCTTGGAACTGATCGCTGATTACGGCGACTACGAGGACTCGCCCATTGATATCATCGATGGCCACAACTACGAGCTGTTGGCCAACGCCAGCTCCGGGTCCGGCAGTAGTAGTAGTCAACCGCGCACTCCGCTCAAGCCAGTGATCCGGGCGCACCTTCCCAATCAACAGCGCACTACTGTTCCCGTATATCCCGGACAGACGGTGCGCGAGGCGTTGGCCAAAGCCATGAGGAGGCGTCGACTCACGCCTGAGATGTGCTCTGTCTTCATATACCACAACAAGTATGTGTCACTCGTCTGTCGTATTGTTCACTCATTTTGTATTGTTTTGTTTGCAGACAACCCATCGAATGGGACAGAGATATAACACTACTGGAGGGACAGGAGATCTTAGTCGAGACTCGCGAACGGTTCCCAATCCAGACGAGTATTTCACACAATTATGTATGACTTGTCTCTCATATGGTTTGCAATTTGTTGTCTCATTAATTGAGTGATGGTTTGTCCGATAGGTTCGCAAAACATTCTTCACGTTAGCGTTCTGTGAGTGCTGTCATCGGCTCCTATTCCACGGCTTCCGGTGCCAGACGTGCGGCATTCGGTTCCACCAGCGGTGCGCCAACGCCGTGCCCTCCCTGTGCCAACCACTGCGCGTCGAATCCAATTACTACCGACACCTCCTGGCGCTCAACGATCAGTCAACATATCTCTCGAACTCAAAGCAACCGCAGGTCTCATCGCAAGCCTCACAGCCATCGCAAACTCATCGCTCGACCCCATTAGGCCAGAGAGAGAGGTCCACTTCCGCGCCCAACGTCTGCTTCAATCTAGTCTCTCATAACGATCTTACTATCGAAGAGATCCGTACACTCACTGGCGGTATGTCTCCATTTGATTCACTCATTCGGGTCATCAGTTTTGGGTTTTATTTTTTGAAAAATGATTATTTGATACTTACTTTGATTTTCTAATTATTGTTATTATTATTATTATTATTATATCATTATTGATGGGACGGTTATGTTTGGCACTCAAATGACAATGATTTACATATCGATCCTGCGATCGACTCATTAATTGCATGCTTTGGCACATTATCTATAACTGAATCACTTTTGTCGTCATTATATCTCTTAATTGAATTGTGACTATAATTTTGAATACAATTTATTGGTTTGACGGAAAGCCTCGTCAATAGTTTTGCCCGCATTTATCTCTCCATTGAATTCTCGACGAACCAATCCATACAATCCATACGCCACTATCGGTCCTATCAGTGGAAAAGGTGAACAAATGTCTCGCAATTTAATGGTCTGTTTTGCATAATCGTCAGCAGCTTCCGTCTCGCACTTGTATAGCATTTGTTTGCCATAAGACTTATATATTCTTGACGTATAATCGGTGTCTAACTTGTTATATTCAGATATCTCTTGATTAGTATTGATGTGCTTTTTATTGACTCGTCTTTTGGTGACTAAAACATGTGCCATATTTTTGTTGCTTTCAGTGATTATATTGTAGTTTACGTGGCGTTTAAATACATGAATATTAATTAACTTTATATGAATTGTTTGACGTAAAGGTGCGTTTAGTAACTTACATCCGCCCCATTCCTCTGGTACGATAGCTACCAGTTCCACATCGGGATATCAGGGTTCCATATCTCCGTCTTCGTCGCCCACCCGCACCCAATCGGCCGGCGGTTCGCCCACTAGTATTCGCCAGCAGTGGCGGCCGAGGGCCCGATCGGCCGACGAGTCCTCCAAAAAGATTAGACCCAACTCTGGCGGACGCGAATCCATTGAAGACTGGGAGATACCACTCGAAGAGATACTTACGGGACCGCGAATAGGGTCCGGCTCTTTCGGTACGGTATACCGGGGTCATTGGCACGGACCCGTCGCTCTCAAGAAACTTAATGTCACCAATCCTACGCCCGCTCAGCTTCAGGTGCGATATCACTACTGTTTGGCGTTTTGTTTGCCAATTATGTGACTATTATGTCTAATATTGTGTTTGGATTTGTGTGTAAAGGCTTTCAAGAATGAAGTGGCGGTTCTTCGGAAGACACGTCACGTAAATATCCTACTCTTCATGGGTTGTGTGTCTCGACCACAGCTGACAATTGTGACGCAATGGTGCGAAGNTTGGCCACTTTAGAGCATTTGCTGCGATCTCTGCCCAAAATACACCGCTCGACGTCTGAGCCGACCCTAAATCGGACTCATTTACAATCGGACGACTTCTTGGGAACGGTGTGCGCGTCGCCTAAAACACCAATAAACTCTCAATTCGGTGCATTCCCTTTCGGTACTGACATGAACTCATGTTTAGTTATCACTAAAACTATATATTACTGTACATAATGCCATAAATTTTAATGAAATCTCATTTAACTACAGTTGCTTTGAATTTAATTTTTTTTCTTTATTCCTTCATAGGCTTCACCACTGGAAACATTTGAGTCAATTATCTCTTAAGGATTACTCGCAAGGACTACATCCAAACCAAACGAATTCTCGACAAACGCTCCAAATTTCTGTCACTAATCATGAATTTTTCGGAAAATGTTTTATTTTTTGAAAATACACCGACAAATGGAGTAATGAATTATGATTTCGATTCCTATTAACAAAAATAATGATTACTGGAAAAGAAATTTTAAATATTTTATTGTAAATATATTTTTCGGCGAAAAGCGTTCAAAACAAGCACTTCTTTTTGGATAATTAATTATATTTTCAATACTGAATAGCATTCCAGGCGTTACTTAAGTCTTAAACAATTTTGTTGTCATTTTTGTTTCATTTGAAATACAAATGTTTGAGGAAATACTCGAAATAATCTCTAAATATCTTAAAATGGATAACTAATTGACTCTCACTTTGAGCTTAATATATATATATATTTACAATTCAATGAAATAATGAAAAAACAATTATTATTCTGTGATATAATTATAAATTAGAAATTAGTTTTGAACACAAAAATGAATGAATTTTTAATTTAATTCAATTTCTCTTATCTCTCGTTGAAAAGAGTTTTTTAAATTGATTTTTATTTCATCAGAATTGTGTTAATTCTCCACTCGAGTGAGTCATGAATGCCATTATTTTGTAATCCCAAATATAGTTTCTGAAATTACAAATCCCAATATCCTATTGTTCATTATTAACATAATTATAAATTTTACAATTTATTAATTTTAATCAAATGAATGACTTAACTGTATGTCTATTCAGTATAAATTCTGTATTCTCTTTACTCATTGCAATGCAATTTCAATATTCATTAAAAATCATTAAAACAATTAATTCCATTGATATTTGCATTTATTATTTATTAAAAAAAGTTTTAAATTAGATATAAAATAATATTGAAGAGATCGTAAGTTCATTGATGCGATTATTTGTTACAAAACACTCATTTATAGCCAACTGTGCCGACAAACAACTGATCCAAACCTTAGAAAAGTTTGGTTTAGAATTAATTATATGAATACTCTGAATAAAGCAATAGATCCACTAATTAGTAGGTATTAAGGTACTATTAGTGTCAATTTTAATATTGGTGACTCCCGGTGCTAAGTACACGGATACGGTTCCGAAGCAAAATGCTTCGCAAAAGTGATTTCCGTTAGTATTAGTGATTTTGACGGTCGCGTAAACTGTCTTCTGATGCGTGACTCCGTGTCCATCACAGGCATCGGAATCCACTAAATTGAAGACAATCTTCTCAAACTTGGCTCCATTGCATATACCACCGCTTATGACACCCTTTTGGTTCATAATTAGATGACCTGTCACAATTGCAAATAGATTCTATAGATTAATACATTGTATTCAGTAATCATATACAGACCGTTCACATGGGCTGATATTGAGTCAGCGTTTGGTATCGACAGCTCATGCAGTTTGCCATCACTTGTGGTCAGATTTAAAGTAACATCCATTCGCTTGAATGTCCAGTCATTACATGAGATTTTAGTCTTGAAATGTCGCAAATAATTAACTTCTTTAATATTGGATCCGTTATTGCAATTGAATTGTTGCATTAGTATCTCATTCGTTTGCATTGGGGGAGTATATTCTGTAAGTTTTTAATACAATTAGTAAAAAGTAAGTTAAAAACAGTATACCACTCATTTGATACCCATTGTGAAGTCTTTGTCGAAAGCTTTTCTCTCATTAATCTCATCAATACAATGACAACCATTTATTGTCTCAACAATTATTAAATAAGAGGTGATGACAAAAAATAAGATAAAATTCATTTTTATGAGTTTGTCTGCACTTAAATTATCGACAAATGATTATATAATACGATGAATGAGTGAATGAATTCGTTTCAGACGTGTATTTGTATTTTAAATATGTTTTTTTCTAAAAAAAATTTCATTTTGTTGTATTAAACAGTACTTTGTTTTTCTGTTGAACTAAATTTCGGGAAAGTTTCGCAATAATTTAGTTATTGACACCAATATTGAGAGATTTGAAGTCATTTCAATGTCCAAACATTTGAATACTATATGTTATTTGCAAATACATACTTGAAGAAATTGTATAAAAATTCAAATGAGCCAATTAATTAGCCATTTATTTAAGTAAAAACATTTATATTAACCATTGATGGGGTCAAAGAAAATCTCGATATATAACGCATATTTTTTTATACATTCAGGTGTTGTTTTCAGGTTAGGTCTGCTACCACTTCCTCCTATTCATATCATTTCATGATTAAAGATATATTTCCCCAACAATTAATTGTTTTTCATAGCATTTATACATTTTATCGATTGATATTTAACTATAAACCAAATCATTTACGCGAATATTTCATTAAAATATTGTAATAAATGATTGAATCAACTGAAAAGTAATTGCACTAAAACTACGGCAAGTGTTAGACCAGAATAAACCAAACCATTGATGTTTTGACCTCTTCTTGCATAACAACATGTGTTCAAAATTAAAGTTACAGAGAAATACATTTAAATCATAATAATCATTAGGCACTAATTAAATCTATATTCATGTCATATTGTGTCCTATATTTTAAATTCACTGTTTTAATAGTATTTTAACTAAAATTCTTAAATAATGTTTACTTTTTTTAATGATATTTATGGGCCATTGTGGCTATATTTTTGTTTTATTAATTAAAATATTGTTAAGAAATAAACAATTTAGTAATAATGATTTATAGAAATTTAAATAAATCCCAATTTATGTCAATAATATTTACATAATAATTATTTTATTCAATTTAATTATTGTTTTACCTATTGAATCAAATATAACTTTTATAATTAGTCTATATTTTGCATATGATTTTATGCAATGCTATAATTTAATCATAATCTTTCATCCAACAAATTACACAACATGGTAACTTATTTCATCTTACTATTTATTATAAAAAATATCTAATCTTACATATATTTTAGCATTTCATGAAAAGTCTTCACATAATTACTATAATACTATTCAATGGACTCAATTGTGACGAAACTGTATTCGTCCGCAAAAGTGTCAGAGACCTCACGTAAATTGAAACATTTAAATTGATTTATTTCAGTGATGGATGAAAGTATCATGGTCATCTGAACTTAATTTTATAGATACACTGATTGGCAAGACTTCAAGCGAGGCATAAAAGTAATGAAACAAAAACACATCAGAAATCCTTTGGGTTTCTATTTCCAGGCAAACATTCACGGGTGGGATGAGTACGACGGCTCCGAAACAGCCAACTATATCGCCGACCATTTCAATTGGCATAAGTGTACTCACGAACAGTACTTCT